TCTCAGTGGGTTGTCAAGCGGAGGGGGGGGGGGGGAAAAGGAGCTATGCATTGAAGGAAATAGCTTTGATGCATGAGCACCATTGAGGGCGCGACTGGGCCATGTCTGATAATGTCTGTAGCCATTGATGTGGCCCGTCTCGGGGTCCCCATCCAGGAAGACGGCAGTGACCATCGCAGTTCAGTTAAAGTTGTACGCCAATGTATTCCTTCGTTCGTTAATCGACAGTCCTGACACTCAAAACTGAACAAAAGAGTTGGTAAGTGGGGGTGGGCTCTGTTGATCCAATCAAACAGAAGTCAAGAAAGACAGTTTTATCAAAGTCGTACACGGTTATTTGGTTTATTGAAGCTTGTACGGTGCATAAGTGAGGCTTAGCCAACACCATATGAAAAAAGAGCGGAGGCACTTCGAGTTCAGTTGACTAAATTCAGCAGATAGATGCATGCGAGCAGGCTGTTTGCCTACGAGACATATCATACTAGGGTGTTTGGGGCTATATGCTGTGGCGACGTTGTGGAGATTAAACCATGTTTGTTTCAAAGCAATGATGTTGGTGCTCTCAAAGCACTTCTCCGACTTGCATACATTCTGCGGACCCCGTGCTAGGTCATCTCATGAAGTTACCCTTTCAATTTAAGCCGTAGGTTGTCCCAGCGACGGAATTTCAAGTATCATCAGGTTCAAGCTGTATTGTCACTCCTTCGAATACGAGTAGTGAGGAGTACGAAGTTCAAACATTCACCTAAAATGACGATCAGCGAAACAAGTTTTCAAGCATTCTGTATTCGCTTCTAATAGTGTTTAATCTTCTTCGACTTGGTCTGCCACTTCGGTCCGAAGAACTTCGCAAGTGTAAATTGTGTCAGTCTGTGTTTTTTAGGTTCTCTCAAGGTACAGCCCTCAAATAATCACAAAGTTCGATATGACGCAAACTTTGTGTCTGTGTGGTGATTGCTTCATACACCTCTCTAAAGGCTTCAAGAAACTGCGATGGATTTTGAGACCAGGAGTATTAAGGTCTATAGACGGAGAGCTGCCGAGGTGGAGAAAATCCTCTACATCACACAACTACCGTGGAACATTTGAACCCATGCCAAGGTGAGGTGACGCTTAACCAAAGGCCTTGGTCAGCCACCATAACTTCCTTCCATTATGCGGGAGATGAAACACAACCGTCCGCAGCATACGATAATAGGACTTGCACAGAGGCAGTCTCGACCAACGGACATTTCGAAATGAATAAACGAATTATCAGCAAGCTTTGAATAGGTGAAATACCGCAGTGGTGCTGGACTGCCACGCACTTGTTACCGCGAGCCACTCATCTGCATGATAACAAGATGCTATTGGATGACAACATCGGGCAGGTACCGATTAGACTGATTGGAAAATTGAACACACTTACCTCGATTCTGACGGATACGCTGGTAGTCCACATGTCAGTATGGTCGAGGCTTCACTAGATAGCTTGAAAGCTTTTACATCACTGAGACGTGTCGTTTCTCAAAGATGATCTTATCTGCGGGGATACCACATTCCAGATTTCTCTGTCAGGTTCCATGAACCGAAATTGAAGTTGCAAATTTGCAAGCTTACTTGAGGTCTAGCCCAGCGAGATGACGGTGCCGGGCAGATGCCGATGCGCGAAAAAACAGTTACCCTGCAACATTTTTTGCGGTTCGGCGGGTTAACGGGTTGGTGGGTTGGGGGNGCCGATGCGCGAAAAAACAGTTACCCTGCAACATTTTTTGACGTTCAGCAGGTTGACCGGTTAGTAGGCTGGTGGCCCACAAGGTTGATTCTACTAGGGTGTGTGCATCTGCATATTGCGAAAGCCCATGTGATCGTAGTTTCACTAGAGAGATTTGGCATCTTGCATTCTGCATAAGAAGACTGATTCTGTTGTGTTTGTCGGGCTCCTGCCGCCTTCGAGTCAATATATGAGGAGGAATTAGCGTTATATCTTTGAGAACTCGCGCGTCGTCTTCGTTTGCTCAAGCTCTCCATAGGAACTAGAGAATTTTATTCTGCAACGTCGGTCGTACTAGCTTAAAAGATTTCGCAGGCAAGCCGTACAGTCCAATTGATGTTTCAGTTTTAGCTG